GGATGAGGTTGAAGTATTTGATGATTCGCAAAAAATTATAGAAGTTATTATTGTATTTGATATTTCTATTTTTTTTCTTTTATTAGCTGTTATATATCGTTTATTTATAACCAATGAATCCGTATATTATACTCTTATTTTTATAGAGAGAGAAAATGAATCATGTGTTACAATTGCAGATGTTATGCTAATTAATATCGATTAACTGGTTAAAATATTTCTATCATATTATTATATTATAATGATTAGAATTGTAGAACTTTGATTTGTAATAGTTTTAATGATCCCATTCATATTTTAGTGTAAAATTTTAGACTAATATTTATTATTAAACTTTTTTGACAAATATATCTTTGTGAAATCATGATTTTAAATTGAACCAACCCAAAAAAAAGTGGCTTGAGTTGATTTGGTTTAGAAATTCAAGTGGTTTGGTTTGATTTGAAAAAAAATTTCAAACAGCTTTAAGGGGTTTGGTTTGAAAAATTGTCTCAAAGTATCCAAAGTTCCAAACCGTTCACCCCTAATTTCCGGTATATTTTATGGATGTCTAATAAATACATGATCAAGCATCAAACTGATCTCTATTCTGATACTATTAGTGTCTACAAGTCTTTTGTTAACCGTAAAATAAAAATAAATAAAATGAAGAGAGAGAAAATCCAATGCTCTAAAATAGAAACATAATCAAATAAATTGTTGAATCAAAATGTCTAATAGAGTCCTTAAATCAAGATAGATTTCTATCAAACGTATTTTTGTTTTTATTTTAATACATCATACGATATTCTATTTTCCCTCTTGGGAAATAACTCCATTCATATCAAGATAAGAAGCCATTTAGATATTTTTCTTAATATGTTACATGTTTGTTCCTCAAGTTTGTAATCTCCCATATTATAAAGAAAAGGGGAAAGGAATTTGAACTATCCCCTGGACATTCAGGGGATTGTTCACCTAGCATTTCCCTAAAGAAAAAAACAAGGAAGATGGCTATAGGAAATGCGGAAGGGGTGGAGGTGACATAGGGTTGCGATGATGACATTTTTTTTCTTCCCTTTTTGGTTTCTAAATTTTTTTAGTAGTATAATTTTTCAAACAAGAACATGTAGAGACCGTTTTGCTTTTTTAAACTTTCGATAAAAAGATAGACCTCATCCATTGATCTAACCAACTTTTAGACAGGTCAATTACCGTCCAACGTTCCATATCCATAAGCTACATATTTTTGCTAATGTTTGGGATGACAGTATCAAAAATAGAAGGTTTGAAACCCTCTGTGTTGGGTAATTGCCTCAAAATTCAAAAGTTGGAGGACTTCTATTGCAAATAATAAAAAGTAGTTATTATTTGGAAGACTTTTAATTAAAGTTGAAAACAGAATCCTTGCAAAATTTAGTCTCCAATTTACAGTCGATTTTGAAGTTTTGCACATGAAAAAGAAATCCTTACTGATTTGAGTATTGTTTAAGTTTAAATTAAACTTTTCTACTTGGTTATTGATTTTATAAATAGTGGATATATTTCATTATTTTGAGTGTGACCAGAGTGTTGATCTGATAGAAAAATATTGTGAGTCTGGCATCTTGAGACTTCTTGTACAAATGGTAGAAAAATAGGAGTGATAAAGTTCGGATTTATTTTTCTTCGTAATACTTTGGAGTTGGGTTAGTGGGTGAAATTTTATATGATTGTAACAATTTTTCATATAGTGAAAAGTTTTGACAGTCTGTTTAATTTATGCGTTATAATCTTTATTTTTCCTATTTGTTAATATTATTCAAAACAACAAAAAATTTTGTGGATAAATAGAAATAAAGGAAACTGGTGTAAAATTCCCAACAAGTGGAATTAGATTGTCAGGTGGTTTGGAGTGTTGGAGCAACAGAAAAATATATCGTCGTTGAAATATGACGTGGAGAAATTTGACGGGAGAATCAATTTTGGCTTGTGGCAAGTACAAGTTAGGGATTTATTAGTTCAAGTTGGATTGCACAAGGCTTTGAAAGGAAAATCAATCAAGAGTTCTGACAAGGAAACTGAATCCAGTATGAGTGATGAGGATTGGGAAGAATTGGATTTGAAGGCTGCAAGCATGATACATCTTTGTTCAGCAAAACGTTCTTGCAAATATTCATGGAATATCTGCTGCAAAGGAACTATGGGAAAAGCTAGAAGAACTATATCAAACGAAGAGCCTTTCAAATTGTTTGTACCTGAAAGAGCAATTTCATTCATTGCGCATGGAGGCTAGTACGAAAATCTCAAACCATCCGAATGTTCTCAACGGGATTGTTTCAGAACTAGAGTCTATTGGAATGAAGATAGATGATGAGAATAAGGCACTACGGCTTATCTGGTCTCTTCCATCTACCTATAAACACATTAAGCCAATCTTGATGTATAGGAAGGAAACTGTGAGTTTCTCAGAAGTGACAAACAACTTGATCTCAGAAGAAAGAAGATTAGGAGGACAAAATACTCCATCTGACAATGCAGTGCTTGTGACTGAAAATGGAAAGAATGGCAACTCCATGAAGAAGCAACTTGTTGGAACTACGATCAAACTGACAACGTGAAGAGAAATTATCCAAAAGGTAGAGCAGGGTCGGCTAACTGAGACTTTTCGTACAAAGAATATAAAAGTAGGTGTGGTAAAGTTCAGCTTTATTTTTCTTTGTAATAATAAGGGATGGGATTATGAGTGAAATTTTATATAATTGTAACAATTTTTCATATAATGAAAAGATTTGACAGTCCGTTTAATTTGTGCATTATATTCTTTATTTTTCCTATTTGCTAATATTCTTCTGAACAATAAAAGATCCTGCGGGTAAATCAAACTAAAGGGAATTGACATAAAATTCCCAACACTCGGTACTTTTTTAAAACGATTGGAACATAACCATAGTTTTCCAATTTAATTTAACATATATTGGAAGACAAAAATGGATTCGATAGGCTACACATCTGAAAATAGATAACTAATGTATTACAAGGACATCAAAATAAGTCAGTTATCATTCCAGAGCATGCATTCAAGAACGAAATGATAGAAAAACAAGTCACATATCTTGTTTTATTTAATAATGTTCAATTTATTCAATTCAACCTAAGAAACCACCCACCAAAATCTGAATTTTTTTATAATTTATGACCTTTTTTCATTTTAAGATTATAGTTTTAGTGCTTGGAAAATTTTTCTATAGTTAAAATTCGGCCCTTACTTTCCTGGATCACTGGCTCTACGCTGCTAGTGCGACAACCCGAACTGGGCTCGCAGACCATCCTGTAGTTACCATTATCTGGCTGTGGTTTGCAGTTCTTTTCATGACCAACTAACCTATCACAAGGAATTGGAGGAAAATCTCCATAGTTGGATCACATTTTCTCCTTGTATGACTTTCTAAATGAAATGCACAAAGCACGAGCACCAGAAGAAGCACGGTCTTTCCTTTGGACGCAGTCATTCTGATTTCCCAATCAAGCCACCATCTAATTAAGGACTCATGATTTCCTTAGTGGTCTCAAATATCAAATCTTCTGTCTGGTATTATTTTTATTAATTATAACTTCATCTGTGGTTTTCAAATTAAATGCATCACTCCCACTTCTTGAAACATCATTGGGATATGCAGATGGTAACATAAATTAATCATCAAGAAAGTTATATATAGCTTATGCTAAGCACTTGAGTGACATGGTACACTATAATTGATGGTGAGTTATAACGGTTATACAAAATTGATTACACCACCTATTATAGTGTATGTCACATCACTTGATGCTTAGCATAAGCTAATTACCAATACTTAATATGCTTATTTTTTGTACATTGTACATACTCATCTTCAACCAAATTTTCGTATAATAAAATACTCTACATGTAAACCCAAAAAAAATTCCTATTTTTTAATCCACATTCTTCTAAAAACCACTATTCAAAACTTTTTTTCTCCAAATAATGATTGTCACATTTGAGAGAAAAAATTTCACTTATAAATTTTTTATTTTTTAAATCTTTTAAATTTTTTTCAGTTTTATTGAAAGAGCGAAAGAAGCAAGGAAGAAAAAAAAATCTAGTCAACTTCTGGTTGACTATAGTTTGCAAAATCGCAGTTGACATATATATATTAGAAAACATGGGAAAATTTTCTAGAGGTAATATGCAATCTTATTTTCTATGCGCAATTCATTAATATTAAAATTAAGGGTTAAAAGATAAGTTGTCTCCCATTAATTCTTGATTTGTAGTTACAAGCTTGACTTTGAGCAATGATATTTCATGATACTTAAAATATAGTTTTAGCGGTCTTGCTTAACTTGCGTAGATTATCTTTACACCATATTTTGCACGTCCTTCAAGATCTTACTCTACCTTCACGAGATAATATGACTTCTTCTTCTTTATTTGTTGATTCCTCAAGTTGAATGAAGAGAAATCATCCATAAACATGTTATTTGGCTTATTCAGATTTATTTGAACTTCAATCCTTTCATAAATTTACATGATGAAAACATCCTTCACAAGCATGTTGTCATCATCATCTTCTATGTGTAGATCATACTGAAAAGACGGATCATTAAAGAAAGCTTTCTTCACTCCCTCTGGAGTGGCCAACAATAAGCAATTTTTAGTATCAAGCAAAGCCCCCACAATATTCACAAGTTGATCTCCTCTCTTCATACAAAGATGGCAATCGGGCTTGTTGGCTCAGGCCGCTCGTAGCTCGGCTCAGAAAAAGTTCGAGCCCGCTCGGTTCGAGGCTCGGGCAAAGCCGCATTTGAAGTAATGGGCAAAGCCTGAGCCGGATCGTGTGCCTCGCCGGCTCGAGCTTATATTTAAAAAAAATAAAAAAATATATTTTAAAGGCAGCAGAGGCGTCCTTCTTTATATTAATAAAAAAAAATCAAAACCAAGCTTGTCGGGCACGGCTCAGAAAGGCCCGATCCTAATTTTTTTGGCCAAGCACTTGGGCTTGGAAAGAAGCTCGATCATTTTACTCGATCCGAGACTGAGCCGACTCGACTCGACTCAACTCGTTGATATCCCACTCATACCTAATAGATGAGATAAATAACACCAAGTTACCCTCATCGGGTACAACACGTGTATTTTATCCCACTATGATGAAGACGTCTTCAACAAGCATATCGGAGTCATCGATATTGGGATCGATTATTGTATATTATTGTTGGTACCTTGTTTCTTTTCTTTCCCTGTCAATGAAACAAAGAAGATAAATAGATCAACTCAAAAAGAAAAAGAATGAATGAAACAAAAGATATAAATAATTTAAATCAATAGTAAATAAAAATAGTGCTCGACAACAACGCTAAAACTTGTTGATTTATGTATTCCACAAATATACGGATCATAATAAGAAATAAAGTGAATCTAAGAGTTCGGATAATCGTTTTCTCAAGAACTATTATCTAACTATTGATTCACTTATTCCTAATTTTAATTCAATTGAAAACAAATAAAATTAATTTCTTCATGATTTCTATTCTAAATCTACAAAAAAATAAAAAATATAAAAATATGCACAAGTAGAAAAGTGATTATATATATAGACACACAAAGTAATTTTTTTATCTTATAACTATTTTACTTATAAGTAAAGTTTTTATTAGAAAGTAAATTTTTGCTTATAAATATTTTTTTAGTTAATATATTTTTATTTACAAGTTAGTTTTATGAAAAATATTTTGATTGAAATATTATTTTATAGAGAGTAAAATTAGAAAAGAATATGAAAAACGATCAAAATCCATCGATTTAGTGAGTTGAGAGAAATGGTCAAATTATCGATATTGAGTATTTTTAAATCATCTATAATCAGTACCAGAAAAAAATAAAAAATAAAAACTAGCAAATACCGATTTTTTCAATCCAATGCTACTCGAAATCAACGAAAGGTCTCGTGAATTCAATTAGAGAGCGTCTGCCTGTAAATTTAGTCAATATTTGTACTAAGATAATCATCAATCTACGTTCATGTATCCGTCTAATGACAATTATGTTGCTGTAAAAGGAAAATGATTGAGCAATTATTTAATCTATAGTTGACAAATAAAGATCCATAATCCTTGGTTTTGGTCTGTCATCACCAATTTAGAATAGAATATGCGAATTAAACTAAGCATTTTAGGCTGCGTCAATGCAATTATTTTATGTTAGTTAACTTAGTTTGGCACCAAATAATTTAGGCTGCGCCAATACAAACAATCAAACTTGTGTGTGTCTTTATACAGGGGCGGATTTAGGTGGCGGCGGCCGCCCTAACTGGTTTTAGATTATATATTTGATAATTCATATTAACACCAAACTTCTTTGGTAGTTTAGTTGGTTAGTCCTTTCACTATTGAATTAAAGATTCTGTATTCGAAACTTTTTAAGAACAATATTTTTTTATAATTTTTGTAGTTCAACAATTTTTACCAAAATAAATCCAAGGTATGTGATTCAAACTTGCTATCTTCCTTAAATATATTGACAACTTTACCATTATGACACTTATTGATTTTTAGCACATAATGAATCAAAATAAAATATACTCAATTTTATTGATTTAATACAAGTAGAAACATTTTAACCGGTGCTTTGTCTCTTTTCCTGATTTTCTTTTCTTTTTTCCCTATAATCAATTGATTTGAGAGTTTGGTCAATTAATGGTGGATGAATTTGTAGAAAAATTGACCTTAGTGTCATAAGGAATCTTTCAACAAAACTTATTTAATAAATAAAAGGTTCCACTTTTCGTTTACAAAAAATCGATTGTGAAAAAATGGAATCATACAAGTACATAGAATTGATATAGACACATAAATAATTTCAACTTTGTTGATATAATATTGCTCGTTTAATTAACTTTAGTTGTAAACTAAATATTGGCATTTTGTTAATATATATTGTCTATTTAATTGAAAAATAAATTACGATATTTTACAGATTATGGAACGATTTTTCATCCAAAATGAAAGTTTGTACCTAGTTTTAGTTCTAGTGGTGTATCTAGTTCTTCTAGTTCTAATCTGTACGATTTTATGAATATTATTTAATTAAGTATTAATAAAAAAACTACGTTATCACGGACATTGACTATCGATAGAAAACTTTCAACGCTCGCAGTCTGCCCTTACTGAACTTGACCCCTGAATTCGTCCCTATCTATATATACATATGATGTGCATGTATTTTAATGCTATTTATCGAAGAAAAAATTCTGTCAAAAATTTTCTAATACAGAAGTAGGATAGGTAAATTTTCTACAAACGAGAAACCTTATGTCATCACCAACTGATTAATTTAGTTGCGGTATTCCAAGAACCATGTCAGTTAAACTAAAGCGATTTTATTTTAGTTACAGTTGCTAATTTCTGATCTATTTACAAACTTATTATCCATCACTGATTTGAAATTGTTATTTTATTTTTTTTAAATGAGGCAAAGATTATTATATTAATATTTATCTGGTTGTGGATTGAAAATGGAAAATTTTAATATACACAAACCAACTAAAAATATATATAAATTAGGAACAATTAGTTGAATTAGTATATATACAGAACCAAAATATCAAAACAAAAAAAAATAGAAAACATGTATTTAAGAATACACTTCACTACCTTTCCATATACTTATACTAGTTTTTCCAACCAGTCAAAATCATATATAAGTACATATGCATAGTAAAATATCAATCAAGAATTAATGGATTGTAAATATCGACTATTCCACTTATCTATGTAAGTGAGCTGTCTAAATTTATTTTATTTAAAAAAAAAGAATTAAAAGAATTGATTTTGTTACATTGTTTCGTTGAGCATAGGGTATTTACTATTTAATTAGCAAATGTTAACACCTGCATTTATGATTTAATTTGGTAAAATACTTAACAATAATAAGAAGGAAAATTTGAACTTTCATCTATTAGAAATTGTTCAATTCAAACAACGACAGCCGGTCAGGTGGAGCTGTTTAAGACAATCAACATTTGTACTAAAATAACTAACCCAGTCCAATGACTGGTATGATAATTATGTTGTTTGTTATAGACAGAAAATGATTGGGCAACAATTTCATCCTAGGTTTCGTTCTGCCTTTTTCTGTCAATTATTCGAGTCGAAGCAAGCAGTTTCGTTTTGAGAAAATTACAAGAAATGTCCATTTTGACATAATCATTTGCAAAAATGTCCAAGATTTTTCAATAAATATCTAGAATGACATATCATTCCTAACATGATATTTCTCTACACTTTAAATGTTGTTCTCAACATTTCCCTGTTTAGCATTAATTGTGATTTGACATGTACAATATGAAATTATAAATTCTTTCATTAAAGGTAAAATAGAGAATTTGGTATCAAATTTGGTCATTTTTGCAAAGATTATTAAAAGTGGACATTTTTTAATTGACATATGTAAAGTTGGACATTTTTGCAGATACTCCTTTAGTTTTTTGTTTCCAAACTCTGGCCAGTTCAAAATTTGATTTATTTACTTTTAAATAATGTACACATATTTCTAGTAAATTTGATTTTCATTCTTTTCAAACTCTTTTTTTTTTTCTTTCAGGATCATTAATTTTCAACCTGATATTTACACAATAAAATATCCTACACATAGATCCAAAACCGGATATTACCTCCCAAATTATTTGCAAAAACTAATGGTTCAAAACTTGGCTTTATTCCTCTCTTAGTCACTTCACACGGGGGCCGGAGGCACGAGAATGGGAGTGGCGATCGCTCCGACAATATTTTTAAATGCACATATAAAACATATATCAAAAATTAAATTCTTTTGGTTTATAGCGAATACATCATTAACCTTTAAAATAAGATTTTTCAGTCCCTAATAATTTGTCCTATTTACATAATTTCACCTTCTTCTCTTCTTCCTCATTTTTTTTCCCTTCTAAGCTCGCCTCCCCAAACCCAAAATCTTGATTCCACCGCTAATTTCGCATATTTTGTTGGGTAGGTAAGAGTTAACAGAGTGATCAAGTTTTTAACATTCCAGTTACTTCGAATTATGCGTGTTTGAAGAAGTAATAAAAAAAAATTAAATACATGATTGATATCATTCTTCAAACTCTAAAGAAAATTTTCAAAACATCTGCATTCGATGCGTATTAGAAAGATTATTCCATTTAAGAAGCAACTGAAAGACACTCATGAAAATTTTCATGAATCGAGAAAATATTAGCAAGAATGAGTTTCAAGGAGATAGACAATATCATTTTATCGTTCATAGCACCAATAGCTGTGGATAATAAGTTGGTGGCACGTTCAGTTTCTCCACTTCTACTTGTGCAGCTTCTTCCTTCGCCTCTCTCCTCTGCTGGACCGCTTCCGTCCGACATCCATGGGGGCGCATGATCTAAACTCCATGCTTTGTATCTCCAAAGGGAAATTCACAATCGCCTTGCTGCCGCGCAGTTCAAAAGCCGCCTTGTCGTAGGCTTTTGCAGCCTCAATGGCAGTATCGAATGTCCCCAACCAGATACGTGAGCCGCGCCGCTTGGGGTCCCGGATCTCAGCCGCATACTTGCCCCAAGGACGCTGCCGGACTCCTCTATAATGCCGATTCTCCTCCGAGCCTGAGTGCTGCTTCCGAGCTGACTCTGATATATCGATCCACTCAAGCTTCTCAACGGCTGGAAATTTGATCTTTAGCGAAGGCTTCCGATTATTAGAATTTAGAGCTTTTTGTGTTGTGAAATCTATTACTTGATTTTGCTCGAAAAAATAGGATCGAGAGCTTGAAAAATTGGAGAAATTATTGGAGTAATCAGAGATAGAAATCGGAGATTCATTGCTTGCAGATTGAGAGCAAAGTGAATCCGATAGAGTCAGGGAGTTAGAAATCGACAAAGTTATGTTAGAGCTGCTTTGATTTTCGACATCAGTAGCAAATGCAATTTCTCTAGTAGAAAACTCTTCGAGAAGATGCATTCTTATTTGCTCCAATGCTAAGGCTTCAGCTGGCGTCGCCATGTAGGTTGCACGAAAACTTCTCAAAGTTTAGTATCTTTATTCCGAAGTGAAACCCACTCGAAAAATTTAGGAAAGAGTGGAAAAGTCTGAAGAAAAATGGCCGTGAACGATGTATATATTTATAGCCAAGATTCTTCTTTATGGTTAGTTGACTTGATTATGACAAATCAATTTTCTAAATGAGTAAGTTATTTACAATTGCTCACTGTCGTTAGCGATTTGACATATTAATGTGGTAATTTTTTATTACCTTATACAACAAATCATTAACCACCACATGTATGCCACCGTATAGTAAAACTACGACAGTAAGCGACTGCAAATAGCATTATTTCTAGATTTTTCTCTATGTGGTGGACATTAAATTGTTTAGGATATTTAGTTCATGTTCAAACCTTATATTTTAAGAATATATTTTGTGTTGATCTCAATTTTTGTAAAGACATGTAGACAACTGAATCTCGATCACTTTCCCTCCACATAAGCATCACCTTTGTCCTACACATTGAGCACACTATTAGAAGGCAAAAGCTGCCAATCGAGAAAGATCGTTTGTACTTCAACAGTAAAGTCAACTATTGGACGAGAGATAATGAGTGCAAGAGATTGAATAATTGATATCGAGTCAAACCATGTGAAACCTCTCCATCACTGATATGCCAAGTAATTTATAAATATAATTTTTGTAAAAAAGTGTTTTTCTTTAAAATTTTGGATTTACATATAAAAATGTAATAGTTTATAAAAAAGTGTTTTTCTTTTAGAATTTTGGATTTACATATAAAACTATTTTTAATTTAAAGCGTAGGAAAAACTTACTTGAAATCCAAAATTATTTTATTGAAAGAATGTGTAGTTGAAAATGAAATCCTAAAAAAAAAAAAGGTGAAACTCAAGCATAGGCTTAATTATTATTGTTGTTGTTGTTGTTATTGTTGTTTTAATAGTTTTTTCCTTCACAAATATGACATTATTAAATGATTGTTTTGTTAATAGCAAAAAAAACTCAGGAAAGGGCTAAGCTTTTTCTCTTGTGTGTAATTCTTAACTATCAATGCATAATTGTATGCTTGGGCCTTGCTACATATGACATCCCAGTGTACAGATTCCCTCACGAAGTGGCCAGCAATTTTTTTTATTCGCGGCCCCCCTTGTGAGGGGATCTGTATACCGAGGTGTTAATCTCGGTGTACAAATAGAAAAACCCTTGTATGCTTATTGTATTTCATGAAGATCATCTTTATTGCTATTACCAGCTAGGCTTTGTACGAGGCATCTTTGGATTCGAGAAAGGATGCATGGGTTGACATTAATTTGTCAATCCCATGCTTCATTAATTGGTGGATGAGAACATGTTTGAAAATTCACTACTAAAAATGAACTTTTCACTTACAAATACCATTGATAATTAGAAATGAATTATCCAGTGATAAAAGTATTAGACTTTTAACTGCAAAATTCATAAACGAAATTTTCATTAATAAAAGTGGTAGCTCTTCACTAATATATATTCCAGGCCTAATGTTGTTTTTTAATATACATACCTTTACCAACAACATTTTCGTAGGTGATGTAATTCAACTTTTTTCCTAAAAAATGTGTCAATCTTTTACCCCACGAATTTTTTGTGGGTGAAAAATAGTTCATATTACCAACGGAATTACCATTTTTAATATTAATCTATTTTAATAATTAAAAATTCAAAAATTTTCCTACGGAATATTTGTAGGTGAAAGGAAGAAAAAGATTTTCAACCTCTTCACCAATGAAGAAATTTCATAGGTGAAGATAAGTTCACATTGCCTATGAAAAATCCATTGACAATATTAATCAATTCTAATAATTAATAAATTTAATCATTCACCTATTAAATATATGTAGATTAAGGGTAATAAAATATAAATAACTATTTATATAATAGTGCAATACACTACACTACAGCCCAATCAAATGAATTCTTATCCCACATCAGAAGTTCACAACAAAGTCTTTGAAGATGTTCTCTATAAATAAGTGATTAAACAACTTTCTGGACCTTTCAATTCAACTGACTAAAAGTTAATAATTTATAATTATTAAATAAATAAATAACAACAATAATAAATAATGGATAAATAATTTTCTTTTGCCACGTCTCATAACTATATGGCTATTTACAACATTGAATTTTTACCAATTGTAATGGTAGACAGTTTACCAATGAAAAGTCGGTAATTGTTGAAACTTTTACCAGTGGAATTTAATTTGGTAAAATGTTCACACTTTACCAACGGAAAATTTAATGGTAAAATGTTTACTCTTTACTTACGGCGCGATTCGTTGGTAACCATCAGGCATCAGTGACCCTCAAATTAACAACGAATCTGTGGTTATTAATATTATGTTGGTAAAGAGTAATAACAACAGATATTACAGTTTCAGGAATGAAAATTTTGTGCCTGAAGCCTTTTTTTTTGTGGTGATTGTTTATAAATTGTTTAAAGATTTGATAAATGTGTAGTACTTCTGTGTCCATTTAAATGTGAATAAAAATTAATTTGTGTTTATAAACGTGAGCCGTTATAGCTATCCATAGAGGCCGCCTCAGTTATAGCTATACGACCGCATGGCTTTAGCCTATGCGGTCGTATAGTGTTAAAATCTAGTTGTTGGTTGAATTTTTTTGAAATTTCTGATGATTTTCTTGGTGAATCATTTCACCTCTTCTTATTGAATTGGAACCACTTCGTATAGGGATGATTGAAAACTACAAATACATGATGGTGTTCATCCCTAAACATATTAAAAAATATCATTGTTGTTCATCCAACTATTGAAGAAATTTAGTTTCTTTACATAATTAAATTCCTTTTTTCACTTGTTCACTTTGAAGAATTACTTTGTTTTTGGTATTCTTTATTGAGGCTTGATAAAGTCTACAAGCCATATGTCATTTCAATCTTTAAAAGTATTGTGAGATGAGGCAAATATCGTTCGAAAACAATGTTTTAATTTCGTGTTCAAATCTTCTTCATATATACATTCAGAGTTTTTACCCCCCCCCCCCAGATCTCAAATTTATTATTGCTTATAATGCAATTATTGCTACACAATAACTTAAATATATTATTATTAAACTACGAAATATTGTCTTCACAAATTTCATTTATTTCTAAATATATCAATGTTTAGGTTGGAGTTTTTAGTCGCCTACTTAGATTTTAGATTGGGGATTTAACAATACCTCCACATGTAAATGTGGAAGTACATAGAGAGAGAGGCGATCCATTTTGTAAACATGGCTATCTACACGTGCATTTATGACTTAAATTTTGTGAGAAAAACATTTTATCCATTAACAAGAATTAATTTGATTTTAAAAGGTCTTTTAAATCCAATTCAAAAATGATTTTTGTCAGGTGCTATTGAAGGATATGACCATAAGACAGTCAATAAGACTCTGTTTGAGCTCATTGTTTGAAAAAATAAATTTGGTAATAGTGATATTTTAAATAATGTGTGATTTAAAAGTAGAAAAAAAATTGAATTTATGTACAAAATTATTTTATTAGAAGAATGTACGATTAAAAATAAGTTCGAGAAAAAATAAATAATTAAATAATAACAGTCACTAATATTTGTACTAAAATAGTTGAATCCAATCTACAATTGCAAGTTGTGCCCATTGGATTATAATTGCAGACCAATTATTTAAATTATAGTTGTCATTGTAAGATCCATAAATCTAGGTTTTGGTCTGTGTTCATTCATTTGATGCAAACAAAATGCAATCATTGTAGGCTGCGTCAACGCAAATCTTTTGGAATAAAACCCCCTGCGTCGGGACAGGGGCGTCACATGGCGCCCCTATTGCTTGACCGGCGCACCTCCAATATATGGTGCCCCTGTCCCTAACCCTGTCCTCAAGCCGGGACAGAGAGCAGGGCTCAATCCTTTGTGGCAAGCTTGGGAAGTCTGGGTCGATGATGCTCTTTGTTTAGAACATAAGACTACATCGTAACGTTTGATGGGAACTAAAATTAGATTTTTAAAAGATTTTGATAAAAATTGATGAAATATATGGTTGAAAAATTGTGATATCCATAAAATATATAGTTAAAATTAATGGTTAAATTTGATTAAGATGGAAACCTGAATTTTATTTTATACCAAATAGAGCCATCATGTATCGTGTGTACATGTATTTGAAAAATAGTTATTTTCTCGAATTTGAAAAACAGTTGACTTCATCCATAGTTCTTGAATCTTGTAAATATTTTATTTTTCTAACTATTGACATTTTTTTTAATTTATCAACATTTTTGTTTGATTTTAAAAAATGAATTGTTGCATGTCTTAATTTCCATTTTCGTATCGGGGAAAAAAAAAAAGAAAGAAAGACAACAACAACAACTACTTCAGAATAGAAACACCACATTACTTTTAACATAGGAGGGGATGCTTTACTGGTGAGTGTTCCCATCAATATATTTGACATATAATTTTAATAAATAATCTGAACCCTTACATTTATACTAATCTAATGATCTCCATTAATCATCCCCTCTTTTAAAAAAAAGGAAAAAAAAAAAAAAAAAAAAAAAAAAAAAAAAAGAAATTGATAAGAAAATTAATAGAGAAAAAGAGAAGAGAAAATAAAAGTCAATAGACCCGCGTGTTTATTAAGAAACAAAAAGCTTTATTTATATGAAAATTTAGGAATACAATGGTAATAATTTTTAAGGTTATAGGAGTATAATTGTCATCAACTAATAATCTTATCATTTACAACACTCTCCTTGAATGTCACTTTACAAAATATCTGCTTACTTAAAATATTGTGTGATAAAAATTCAATGGGATAAAAAAATCAAATGAAAGAAAAAGAGTACGATTATTGGATTATTAAAAATAAATACCGTCTCATTAAAATCTCACTAAGAAAATCCAATGGGGATAAAACTTAAGCAAAGGAAAATGAGTACAACTACTCTCCCTGGTGTTGATCACTAAAAATAATTGAATCGGCACATTCCAATCTCATGAACCAATTTCTTGAATATAGATGTCAGAAGTGCTCTTGTAAATAAATCTTTCAC